AATATCGAGGGATCATCAGTGCCTGGATAACTCAGTTGGTTAGAGCATGGTGCTGATAATGCCAAGGTTGCAGGTTCGATCCTTGTATGGGACAGCTGCATATTCCTGCATTGTGGGGGGTTGGACTAAATGATCCTCAAGGTCCCTTCCAACTCTACAGTTCTATGATTCTGTGATCACATCCTCAAGTGCCATAACTCAATGGGAAAACATGGTATTTAGCATCTGCCTGAGTACAGAGGAAGGAGCCAAAAAACCTGATGAGGAAGGGAATGCTAGGAATTCCAGAGACTGTTGCATGCATGCTATACAGTTAAAGCAATAATTCTGGGAACGATAATTTACCCCTTAAAAGGTAAAGGGACCCCTGACCATTAGGTCCAGTCGTGACTGACTCTGGGGTTGCGGCGCTCATCTCGCTTTACTGGCTGAAAGAGCCAGCGTACAGCTTCCGGGTCATGTGTCCAGCATGACTAAGCCACTTCTGGCGAACCAGAGCAGTGCACAGAAACACCGTTTATCTTCCCACTGGAGTGGTACCTATTTATCTACTTGCACTTTGAGGTGCTTTCGAACTGCTAGGTTGGCAGGAGCAGGGACCGAGCAACGGGAGCTCACCCCGTCGCAGGGATTCGAACCGCCGACCTTCTGATCGGCAAGTCCTAGGCTCTGGTTTAACCCACAGCGCCACCACAGAGCTACAATTCCCAGCACCTTAACTACGGTTCTCAGGATTCTTTGGTGTGGGAGAATGTGCTGTAAATGTATGGTATCACTGGGGAGAAAGCCCTATTTCATGTATTCATCAGCCTGATTTTGGATAAAAGCCAGCCGTGTAGTAGAGCCCTTTTTGAAGCTCTTAATGGGCTCTCAGTCTCATATGGGTGCAAGCAGTCGTTCACATGGGTGCAGGTAGTCATGGACCCAATGGCTGTTAAGCGATTTAAAAGTAACAAATAGCACTTCGATATGGGCTTGGCAATCTGGCAGCTGCATTCTGAACAAAAGTTGCCAGTTGTGGTTTCTGAATTTCTGGATTTTCTTTGGAAGGCAACTCCACATACGTCATAGAGTGCATTACAATATTTTAGCATGGACATGTGTGAAAGCCATGTGACAGTAATCAGATTTATCTTCTCCAGGGAGGACCACGGCTGGCTCACTAGCCAAATCTTTGCAGAAGCAGCTCTGGCTATAGATATCACCTGGACATCTGGAGCAAGCTTGCAAATTTATGCCAAAGCACAACTTGGGAGGGGAGTTTGCATGTATAATATAATACATATAAATATATATAGAGAGAGAGTGCAGATACACATATCTGCTGGAACTACACAAGGTACCATACTTATACAAAGAACAGCTAATGGAGATTAGCTTGAACACAGTGGGCTGGAGGCTGTGTATTATACTGCTTTTGCATCAGTACTGCTTTTGCATCAGTACCCACAGAGGCTGTCACTTGGGAACATTATAAATGGCAATTTTGGCATGTGGAACAAGGGCTGATGATGGACAAGGCAGGGGAACTAAAATAAATAAATTAGTTAACTAATCCAGAATGAAGACCATCCTTCTTTCAGCATGGCCACTTCAGATTAGAATTCTCAATCCTATGCAGTTCCACTTAGAAACAGAAATGAGAAAATCTACACTTGCTGAAATTTCCTCTTCCACACAACTACCAGAGGTAAATGTGGTGATACCATTGCTGTGATCCACCTGAGATCAGGGTGCTATCTACTTGTGTAACCCAGTCTAACAGCTGAAGACCAGTACCTTCAAATGCATCCAAAACTTCCCTTTGACTGTACATTGGAGGGCAAGATTGGCCATGGCGTGCAATCGTTGTTGACTCACTATTACCCCTGATAAGCTTCTAAGGAAACCTATAGCTCCCTGGAAGAATCACTGTCATATGCTGAAAATGACTGATATATATTACCTCAAATTTTGCCCTCCATCCTGCTCTTTAAGATCAATCCCTTCTTGAATCCAGACTCTTTCTATTCCCCTCCCCATTTAAGCATTATCGGATTTAGGATTCCTCATCAAACAACACTTTGAATGGCTTGTATAGTCTTTGCTTAGCTGTGCATATGCTTAGCTGAGCTGCTATGTGCTCCTTTGCTGCATACAATTTTTATCCCATCTAAAAATGTTCTTGCACCAACTGTGACTGCAGTGCTTAAGGTAAAAAAAAAAAAAAAAAGGCAGATAGTTTTATCACTGCTGCAATCCCTTTGCACCCAAATATTCAGAGGGTGCTTGCCAAGGATCAGCCACCGGTTTATAGCTACGCCTCTCGTGAAGGGGATATCAGAATGCAAAGCAAGCCTTTGTCCACTGCTCTGACATAAACTATAGCAAGGAGTTACACATCTATAAACAAAACACCCACCCCCACGCTGGTAGATCAAAAGTCAGTAGCTAGCTGTGAGTTGCTAAGAATTTTTGTGGTGTTTCATAAGTTTTAGAAGGCATTCCTCTCTTATGGATTAGTGTTTGGACATGTAATCCACACAATATAATTCACGAGCAGGGAAACCGGCCCTTCAGATGTTGTTGGACTCCAACTCCCATCGGCCCAAGTCGGCATGGTCAGGATTGATGGGAGTTGTAAACCAGGAACATAGGGAAGACCACAGGTACCCTATCCCAGTGCTAATTCAGCCATAAGATGGCAGCACCCTGCTACATCCAGAAATGAACCAAGGGACAATGTATATCTTGGTGTCTTCATTTATTTATTTTTAAAAAACAAACAAACCATTTTTATTAAGTTTTCAATTTTACATTTCAAAATAAACTTTTTACATACTTTTAAATATCCAGTGACTTCCCTTCTCCTCCTTCCATGGTTCATTTTACATGTTTTCCATTTCTGCATATTTCACTCTAACCATTTAAATCAATTCTCCATTTCACATCATTTAAACATTAATCACACTGTTGAATTTATCTTAATGCTGCCAGCGTTTTCAGCTGTGTACAAGTATTTTTCATATATTCAATAAATATTTTCCACTCCTCTTTAAATATATGTTATTCTCGTTCTCTTATTCTGTGTGTTGAACCTGCAAGTTCTGAATATTCCATAGCGTCTTCATTTATTTCTGACTAGGAGAAAGGGAGAATATTCTAAAATACTCCCCTCACCAGTTATTCCCCCCTTTAATTACAGGCCCTTACATTATGGTGACAAACTTAATATATTTGTAAAACAGAATAAAGAATAATTTTCACTTTTGTTATAGCCTTTCCTATTAAGCCTATAACTTCTAGCATAATCTATAAATATCCAAAGTGGTGATTTAATTGTTTTTTCCTTTTTTACTTTGTATTTTTTCTTTTTATTGTTAATTTTTTTCTTCATTAATGTGATTTTTTTTTTCTTGTGAAATTTTAATAAATACTATTTAAAAAAACAAAACAAAACAAAGTGGTGATTTAGGTGCAGTGTTGCAAATTTACCGTCCTTTGTGTCATTTAACCCAGAAATGAGAGGTGTCAGACTTGTCATAGCTGATCTTTCTATTTCCTCAGAGAGCCTGTCAGAACAGGCCAGAAGCAGAATGGCCCATCTCCCCACCCCACCTTTGTCTCACGAGAAGGATTAGAAATTTCATGAACCTCTAACAAAACTCTTAGCAGTGTTTTTGGAATAGGAACAGACTTCTCTCAAGAAAATGGAGAGCGGTGCATCGTTTTTAACCCTTTATTGCCATTGTATTGCTTCTACATATATAATAAGGCACTAAATGTCATCATGTTGTAGTTTACGTGGCCACAGACAGGTGGTGCTGCAAACTACATCATGCCAACATGTCCAAGGATTATGGATGCTGTAGTCTACAGCTTCTGAAGGGTACCACATTGGTTATCCCCTTTGATTTCTACTCCTTTAGTTTAGGAATAATTCTTGCTTGGTACTTTATGCTTAAAAAGATAGCCCTATTCAGATTTTCTTCAGTTGTAAAAATGGGGGAACATTAATCTTGACCCCTCCACCCCTGACTGTGCAGGAAGGACTAAAGGGGTATTGTGAGTTCATTCGGCTGAATGCAGTATCCTGATAGTGGGAAGGACTGTAACCATGGTTAGCCTGATGTGGATCTTCTTGCTTGTTGAGTGTGGCCCTGCATTCCACAGATACAGCTGAACACCTGTGTAGGTTTGATGTCTTCATGTGGTTCCCCCTGCCCTCCGTTTCATATCCTGCCCTCCTCCCATTCCTGGTATGCACAGACTTGTTGTTGTTGTTGTTTAGTCGTTTAGTCGTGTCCAACTCTTTGTGACCCCATGGACCAGAGCATGCCAGGCACTCCTGTCTTCCACTGCCTCCCGCAGTTTGGTCAAATTCATGTTAGTAGCTTCGAGAACACTGTCCAACTATCTCGACCTCTGTCGTCCCCTTTTCCTTGTGCCCTCCATCTTTCCCAACATCAGATTCTTTTCTAGGGAGTCTTCTCTTCTCATGAGGTGGCCAAAGTATTGGAGCCTCAGCTTCAGGATCTGTCCTTCCAGTGAGCACCCAGGGCTGATTTCCTTCAGAATGGAGAGGTTTGATCTTCTTGCAGTCCATGGGACTCTCAAGAGTCTCCTCCAGCACCATAATTCAAAAGCATCAATTCTTCGGCGATCAGCCTTTTTTATGGTCCTGCTCTCACTTCCATACATCACTACTGGGAAAACCATAGCTTTAACTATACGGACCTTTGTCGGCAAGATGATGTCTCTGCTTTTTAAGATGCTGTCTAGGTTTTGCGCAATTGCCTTTTTTGTAGACCGAGAAACTGATCACAGTGACCCAGCGTGTTTATCACATTTCACAGCTACGTATGCATGCCCTTTAACTGGAAAAAATCCACTGCGTATAACAGTTACTTAAAATGCAGCAAAGGTGACGCCACACCTAGTTTCTAAACTTATCTCCATAGAATTGTACCATAGAATTGTACTGAGAGTCATCTAATCCAATGCAGAAATCCTGCCCACAGCTTTCCCAGTTTGGGCTCAAACCACCAACCTTCTGGTCAACAGCCAGAAGCACTGACCCATTGCGCCGCAGGAAATATCTACAATGGAAATGTTGAAGAGTCTAAATCTCTCCTCGCCCCTGGTTGTGTCCTGTATAAGCGCCCTGAAATGGACAGCAGTCCATTCCTTTGATTAAAAAGCAAACAAACAGAATTCCCAGAAGTACACTTGGAAAGGTTCATATTCGCCCACTAAACAAATAAGGTGTTTCCCCCTTAGGAGTGCATATGAACCAGCAGAGGGTGCCATATGCCTCAAGTATCACAGACTGGCCTGCGTGCCAATGAATAAATTAATTTACAACGAGGAGTCACAGGGGTGACTGGAACCCAGGTCTCCCAGCTCCCCAGGCAATCGTCCTGACAGCTGAGGTAAAGGAGCAATCTGTTCAGTAGTGTGTGTGTGTGTGTGTGTGCGTGTGTGTGTGTGTGTGTGTACGTACACCTCACCTAACTCTGCAGCAATATCAACTTTTAATAAGCCATGCCCTTGTTGCAGGAGTGCTCCTTGCTGCATTTTGCTTGCCTTCCTTTCGAGTTGCAGAGAACGCTGTAAGCGTTTTGATTTTATAAAGGGCAGTCTCAAAGAAAAAGGGTGGAGTCCCCCCCCCTTTAAAAAATAAACACACACACGCCTGCACACACAGCGTAATCCCGTTCGTTGGTATTAGAAGGTGATTAGAATGAGACTTCAGTCAGCTCGAGGACTCCCCGAGGCAAGGTCTCGTCCCACCCGTGCATATAGCATGCCCCGTCTGACACGGGGAGGCTGGAGAATTGAGCAGAAGGGAAGCTGCAGTATGGCGCAGCAGATGAGCACCAGCGGTTGCCATGGAGATCTCTAGTACAGCCGAAGCTCAAAGAAAGGGCACTTGCCGAAACGCAGGAGCTCCGCGGCAAATGAACGAGGAACCAGCTGAATACAGAACAGGCCCTCAGCTAGGCTGTCCCAGATGGAGTTTTAATTCCCTTCTTGCCCCAGCTTGGCCGCCACCTCATCTTGCCTCTGAAATGCTGAGAATAAACAAAAACGGGCCCTCCCTCTCTGGGAGAGGGTCCTCCTTTTCTGAAAGAGACGGGCGCATGCTTATAAGATATTAATGGCAGCATAATGGCCTCGGTGGGGAAGGGTCTGGTGGCCTTTGCAAAGGCGTGTGCTCATCTTGCCAGTGGGGTTTTAGTGGGTGCCATGGGATTTGTCAGCAGCATATGCGCTCCTGTTAATGATTGAAAAATTACCACAACAATTAGTCATGGATCGCTGAAGGCAAGGCCCCCAAACTCCGCGGACATTGTGATTAAACCCATGTATGTGACAATTAACTCTCCTGAAGGTTTATCCACCACAGAGGGCCGTTTGGGCAAAGGGGAGGGGACCCAGAAGTGACAGGCAGAAATAATTCAGCAGAATGGATCCGATACAGCTGGCAATATCCATTTTAATCTGACACGGAATTAATCACACTTAGATTAATCCTGTTCTTATTGCACCATTGCAGTTTGTTTCCTTATTTATAACCACCAGCACCGCCCCATACTATCAATGCCACCGAGACGTGACTGATTCAATTCCTGCCCGTTCCATGTTTTTTAAATTTAGAAAGCAAACCCCTCCGTTACGCCATGTTTTTAGGTGGGCTAGGGAGCAATTATCTCATAAAACCTGAGCAGACACCAGATGTAGCACATCTTGAATCCCCCGAGGTATCACAGTTGAATAACCTACAGCAAATATTTTTGTCCAATCTGCTGCCCCTAGCATAGAGAGAAAGAGAAATAGCCATCCATTTTGTCTATCCACATAAATGTGTGTGGCTGCAGTTGTAGTAACACGTGCAACATGAAGTCACAATGCGTATATGTAAAGCGCAGCTAAAGCTATGATAGAATGCCTGTCCTAAGACAATATATATTGATAGATAAAATCCATATTTGGCAACATATATAGTGTAATATCCATATTTGGTTGTTGGTTCATATATATTGATGAATAGGCATATATGCCCCATGTAATTGTATTTATGACAATTGGTTGACATGTCCAGGAAAACATAAAAGCGCAATGCTGTACAAAACTTAAAAGTTTGTTTTCCTAAATCACAGTTAAGCATTACGTCTGATTGACTAAGCCATGGTAACTTGTGACTGAATAGGTAAAACCAGGTTCTAAATGTTTTTGCAAACCTTGGTTCATGTTAACCAGGGTTAAGCACTATACAGTGGTACCTCGGTTAACTTAATCCATTCTGGAAGTCCGTTCTGAAATGAAAGCTGTTCTTAAACCGAGGTGCGCTTTCCCTAATCAGGTCTCCCGCCGCTGGTGCCCTTTCATCGTTCGGCTTCTGTTCTTAGACCGAGGTAAAGTTCGCAAACCGGGACACTGCTTCCGGTTTTGCTGAGTTCTTATACCAAATAGTTTGTAAACCGGGCTGTTCTTAAACCGAGGTACCACTGTATCTGTGCTGAGTTCTACAGACTCCTTCCTTGCAAGCTGACAAGCAGCTCCTGTTTGTATTTCGCTATGCTCACCCTCTGCAGACAGGGCTTAGTTTTGAAAGCTAAACTATTAATTTAACTATATGCCTGGGATTTTAACGAGGGTGGCAATACAATAAGGCCTTTTCTGCAGTGGCTCCCCATCTGTGGAGTGCTCTCCCCAGGGAGGTTTGCCTTACACACCTTTAGGTGCTAGGCAAAAACATTGCTCTTTAACCAGGCCTTTGGTTGATTGACATCCCATGTCCTTTTAAAACATGTTGTGGGGGGCGTATTGGGTTTTTATTTTGTTTTTATTTTGATTATGTATTTTGTGGTTTTATATTCTGATTTTATCCTGTGAACTGCCCTGAGAGCTGCAGGTATAGGGCAGTACAGTGGTACCTCGGGTTACATACGCTTCAGGTTACATACGCTTTAGGTTACAGACTCCGCTAACCCAGAAATAGTACCTCGGGTTAAGAACTTTGCTTCAGGATGAGAACAGAAATCATGCTCCGGCGGCGCGGCAGCAGCAGGAGGCCCCATTAGCTAAAGTGGTGCTTCAGGTTAAGAACAGTTTCAGGTTAAGTACGGACCTCTGGAACGAATTAAGTACTTAACCTGAAGTACCACTGTATACAAATTTAGTAAAACAACAACAACTCTTGCACAGAACTGGATACAGGGATGTAGAGACACTGAACTGATCTGGCAACTGTTCTCATGCGCAGAACTCCCAACTGTGTTCCATTTGTTTAGTTGAGATTTGTTCCATCAAGGATCACTTTTGACTCTGTCATTCAGCGCAGTCAGTTCAAAGGCATATTTAAGTCTTTTGCCAGCTCCAGACATAGCATGGCCAATTAGCCACTGAAGGATCTGGCAATAATAGCCCTTCAAACAGTGTCAAGAACTAGTCATGCCTAAATGTTTTGAAGGGCAGTCAGTTTTAACAATGAGAAATGAGGTACATGCTTTCTTTAATTTTTAGCCTTCTCTCTTTCTCCCCCCACACCCTTCCTCTGCCTGCAGTTCAATTCTTGAAAGAGGAACGGCTTAACAAGGAAGGGGAAAGGAATTTACCTGAGTCGTGCCTTCTCATACTTTTATCATAGGCATAGGGCTCTGTGAAATGTCCAAATGAATGCATGAAAGGAAAATATTTCCGCTCACAAGTAGGACAGAATTTCTTCAAAGTATTTCACTTTTCAAAATGAACTTTTTAGCTGTGTGTTTTTTTCAGTGGATTGGGGCGGGGGAGAGGGACCAACAGCACTGGAAAAGGGGGGGAAATATTAATTACCCCCCTCCTTCTCCATTTTTGTATGGAGGTTGATTCCATGTGCTGTCTCTCTTTGCCTTTTTGAGGCATGACTGTTAGTGGTTGTCAACAATATGAAGCAAAACTCTACAGACATTTCACACCTTTATTCTAAATATATTGGATAAAATGAAAGCAGTGAAATGAAGAATGTTTAAACAACAGAGGAGATGAGGAAAATATACTTGTGTCAAACCAGACAACTATGAGCGCCATTCCAAAGAGCGGTTGGTCTAAAATGATAAAAATTGCTCTCAGCTCTGATGTGCTCTTGTTTGGCTCAAGAGGACAGTGAAAAGAGTATTTATACTCCAGCCAGGCGTCACCCTTTTCCCCACAACATGTAATATAAGTGAATTCCCACTTTATTGTTGGGTAGGAAGTTGCCCTTGCCCCTGCCCCAGTACAGTGGTACCTCGGGTTAAGAACTTAATTCGTTCTGGAGGTCTGTTCTTTACCTGAAACTGTTCTTAACCTGAGGTACCAGTTTAGCTAATGGGGCCTCCCGCTGCTGCTGTGCCGTCGCCGCACAATTTCTGTTCTTGTCCTGAAGCAAAGTTCTTAACCCGAGGTAATATTTCTGGGTTAGCGGAGTCTGTAACCTGAAGCGTATGTGACCTGAAGCGTATGTAACCTGAAGTGTATGTAACCTGAGGTACCACTGTATAGTTTATTTTTACTGTGTGAACAGAACCATTGCAAGTACTTTAAACAAACCATAGTTATGTGCCATTGCTGTGTCTCAAGAGGCTCCTGCACCCTGGAGATGAAAGTGGATTTATGAAGCCGAGTGCTGAACAGATGGAGAATAAAAACAGATAAACACCTCTAAATCACAATTGGCTATTATATGTCTGGTATGGTTAGGCACAGACCATGGTATAGCACAATATCTGAAATGAACCACTAAATGAGCTGGTTCACATGTACAGTGGTACCTCGGGTTACATAAGCTTCAGGTTACAGACTCCACTAACCCAGAAGTAGTACCTCGGCTTAAGAACTTTGCTTCAGGTTAAGAACAGTTTCAGTTTAAGAACGGACCTCCGGAACGAATTAAGTACTTAACCCGAGGAACCACTGTAATGCTAAGCCATACTTTGGTTACAGCTAGTGTTTGTCTGGAATGAGCCTGGGTTCGGATGACACAATAAGACAAAGGATGAAGAAAATTGGCTTCCAGGTGGAAAAATCAAAACTAGAAACAGAACTGTTAGAACCCAAAACTAAGAATTTG